GACAACATAACCAGAAAGGAATGCTACAATCAGCCAACTCGTGTAGTTCACCGAGCTTGCTGGAGGCATCATGGCTGTTGAGCCCAGTAGTACTGGCATGTGTATGAGGGAAATCCATTTCTGCTTAGGGAAAATCTTTTGTGCCAACCAAACTAGTATAGGGGAAATGGCTCCTCCTAGAAAGAACCAATTGACATTGGAGTAAACACCAAGTGATCCAAATATTCTTTTTGGCCCAATGAGCCCCCAAATAACAGAGGCATCGTAGAAAACACGGTCCTGTGGACATTTCCACGGGCTGTTGGCTGGTAGCACGGAGACGTCGCAGAGATTTGGCACTGATCCCATGAGCCACCATGCAGTAATTGTGTATATGATTACTGATATGAATGTTCCCAGCATCTGAAAGAAAATAGAAGTCTATGTTAGAGTAGGTCAAAGTCCCACACTGGTTGGAGAATGGACTCGTGGCATATCAGAGCCAGATCCATCCCCGGCTCCCGGTCCACACTCCAGTTTGGTCTGGGCGTGAAGTGTTAGAGTAGGTCAAACTAGAAAACAATTCTTTCTTGTCCACACCAAGCATTAGTACAAGAAAACCTAATTACCTGAGCCATAAACATTGCCCTTGGAGGAATTTTCATGTAGTGACCAAGCTTGAAATCATAGACAAAACTAAGAGCTTGGGCCATGCTAATGTACCCATACACCTTGAACAGCATGTTAGCCACAGGGAATCCAGGGTACATATACCCCCAAACATACTCTGTGATGATATTAAGACCAGGTTGCTGATTCAAAATAGAAATAAAGTCAAAACGACACGAACATGACATACTAATTCAAACATAAAAGAGAGATCAGTTTTTGGGTGATTGAGTTACCTGGTTCGTAGTAGCAACAATTATTCCTATGGGTAGAGTGAAACCAAAGGCTATAACAAAAGCTAGCAATACACCCCACCAAGTTAATTGGAATGTTTCGAGATAATGCTGACAAATGAAGAAGATTAAGGCCATGTTTACAACAAGAACAATATGGAACCACCACATTGGAACCTGCTTGTATTTTTTCATTAGCCTTGTGTGCACATCTAATTTTTTTCGCTGGTCGAATACTTCTCTGAATCCATTCCACACTTCACTGCAGAATACATATTCTTTCAATCAGAGCCAAAAAAGAATTCCATTCAAAAGAAAACATTATCAAGGGATCTTTCGTTTATGGTCTGCTAATGCAGAGATTATAATGTAAAAGTTATACATTAGTCGTGCAACGATTTCTTAAGGGGTCTAGCATTCAATTTATCAGGTGATGCATACCTTCCGTGGAAGAGAAAAACGTGCACAAAAATAGCGCCAAGAGCAGCAAATCCAAGACCATATGTCATGGCAAAGAAGGTACTCAAATGCAACTGACCATATTGATTATAGGCAGCATAATCAAGCTGAAAGTGTGGATCAATGACTCCCTCAGTGTTGTATTCCGTCCCATTTACCGTGTAGAGGTCAGAAGAGAAAATTGGGAAAGTCTTGGCTTTGTAAACGTTGTACCAATAAGTGAGCGGAGTCATGAAATACATTACAAGTACAAAACCAACTCCAATATTGGCAGTGGCAAACCATGGACTAGCTAAAGGACTTCCAAGGTACGATGAAATGGTTGTCCAATCGAATCCTATGGCACCAATACCAAGGCCCTGCATACCAGAGCCCAACTGTTGAACAAAGATGGATTTGGGAGCAAACCAACACAGCCAAGAAAATGATGTCAACATCTGGAAAAGGTAACCAGGGAAAACGTAGTATGCAAAGCTGAAAACTAAGGCTATGAGGAAGAACTGTATCCGTGTTGTACCGCCTTTTGCTCTATTCTCCTTTTCGTGCAGAGCCCTGCACAATTATACAATACTAAGTACCAGCCCATGTGTAAAATATCTACACAACAAAAACTACATACAAGTGAATATTTTACACAATGGGTGTATTTTAACGCGTTGTAACATGTAAGTTATTTAATTTTCCATGTTGCTAGTACCACCTTCTAGTGATGGTTACTTGTAATTATCTTTTAGGCAATCTGATAGTTCGTATCATATTTAAAATCAAATCTATAGACAACCTGATATAACTAGTAACTAATCTACTATCATGGTGTAACATAAGCCAATGCATATATACCTGAATAAGGAGACCTGAACCAAACTGCCTGGCCACCACATTTCTGCTGGCTCAACAAGAAGCTTCCGGAAAATACCGGCCCAACCAAAACCTAACATCTGTCATTTGTTTGTAGATATATAAATAACAACAACATATTCAGTATATTCATACAAGTGGTGTCTGAAGAGAATATATAAAGGGGGAAATGAAAGAATGTAGCTTTTTAGTGACTTGTGTCAAATTTAGCTAGTAAATATCAACTCATAAAATATTTCAGACAGGTTTATAACTACAAAGGTTGAACAAGTAAAGTTTTTAAAGGTTGAACATATTGCATTATTTGATTATGGATTCATAATTTTTATTTGTTAATTCCTTCGGTCTCACTTAATGATAAAGTTACTATTTGAAGAGTCGAATGAGCTTTTCACGTGTCTTTTAAATATTTTATAATTATTGTGATTTATATACATGCAAGTTTTATTTTAAATAAATAGAAGATTCTACGTCTAAATTCACACCAAAATTAGATAATTTTATTTAAAAACTTCAGTGACTTTTCACATGTATATATCTATTATGTTCGAGTAAAACTATACTGAGTCAAATTACTCTCTCCACTCCATTTCAATTTTTTTGGAATGGTCAAAGGATATTTTATTTCATCATAATTTTTTTGAATTGATAACTATGTTGTGAGTTATACTAAGATTCCTTTATTTAATTTCTAATTATATTGATTTTATTTCAAAACAATTGAAGATTCTATATTATTTATTCCTCACAATATTAGGATTTGACCATTGTACTCCAAATGCACCAAACAAATTAATACAGAGGAAATAAATTTAACACACATATAATAAAAAATTTAATCAAACCCATCAAATATAATAGTTGAATATACTATGAAATAACAAAAAAGCATGTAAAAAAAACTAGATATTTTTTCTTTTATTAAAAAACAAGAATATAATAACTAGAAAAAGTTACCTGAGTTGTGGCCATGATAAGCAATGCTGGAAAAAAATCAAGTGGTCTCTTATAGTAAAGCTTAACAGCACTCAATATATGCGTAGCATAAACAGTTCCAGCGCCAGCATTAGCGAAAATCGTAATCAACACGTGCTCCTTAATATTAAATCGGCCCGGATTGAGCGTAAACGCCCAACCCGTGCCCTCGAAAAACACCCTCTTTGTTATAATTTTCGCCATTAGGTGCCCAATAGGCACCACTGCGATCTGAACCGCTGTCGATGAAATCGTCAGCGGTTGAGTACGATACCAAAAAAACTGATTCACAAAAGATAACAAAATACAAGAAGTGATCCCAAGGAACCACATTCTAAATGTTAATACAGGTGTTGTTGGATCATCAGTTTTTGGCACTGTCATTTCTACTTCTTTAATTGGGCATTCTTCATCATCATTATTAGTCTCCTCTTTCGATAAATTCATTTCATCAACTTGTATTTCTGCCATTGAAACCTTGTTCTAAAAACCCAAAAAAATTGTTTGTATAGAATGAAGGATAAGATTAAAAGTTCTTGTACCTAATTATCATACGTATTTGGTAAAAAAAATATGGCTAAGTACGGAATATTAATTGATTTAAGAAGAAAATAAGAATTGGCTATAAATAGGACTTTTAGAGAGGAAAAAATGATGATTCATTATCTTTGAAAGGTGCAGTGTTTGGGTTAAGGTAGGTAACTATAAAGTATTTTATATATAAAGGATTATGAAGATTTGTTTTAGTAATTTAAAGTGTGAATTTGTTTGAGATATTTAAGGTAAAGAATTAATTGATTGAAATGATGAATATTACGTTGTCAATTGTGAGATTGATCTTCTATATACAACTGTCAAACAATTAATTTTTTTTTATTAATGTGAAATATTTGAATACGAAAAGGGTGGGAGTTGGGAGTTTGGGGGATATTACCTTGATAGAGCGTCCATCCGTCTATCTTTACTTGTTCACTATATTATTTTGAAATATCCAATAATATTTGTTTATTTTGCTCTTATAAGTATATATTATTCATTTTTAAATAATTAGATGACTTATATTTATAGGGTGATTTAGCAAAATTACCCCAATCATTTAGGTGGTCCTGAGATAAAAATTTGGTGTCTTGTTTGGTTGCCATGTTTGGATAACTTATCCCACCATTTATACGATAGTGATAGGATAAGTTATCCCATATACATAATGGAATAAGTTGTCCCAGGACCGTGTTTCTTAGATAGAGGGAGTAGGAGTACTATTGTTTCAGTCACTAGTCATTACTATCTTCTTCTTCAAGTTTATTATTAGTGTTATCGTATAATTTGAACTTGCTATTTTTCTTTTTACCATTATTTTTTACATGTCTTTCATTATTTTTTTCTTTTGATATGCTTTACTAGATCCGAGGATCAATAAAAATCTGTCTACCTTCACAAAGTTGGGGTAAGTAAAACCATATACACACCACCCTCTCAAGACTCTACCGTAAAATTACCTTGTTGATTTAAGCCAATGCTTGAATCAGGGAAGGCACACAAGCATGTTGTTTAACTTACTCTGCTTTTATTTCCAACATATTACAGCGCAAAAAGTTCTGTTTTCTTGCTACAAATCCGTTTGTCCATACATCTTATTTCACAATTTTTAATAATATTTGAAGATTATTTCAAACAAGTGTTCCAAAAACTATGTTCTCCAGCGTATTTACTTTCTTTTGCCAAATATTTCCTTTGCAACGTCCGCTCGAGGTTTTAAAGCAAAATACCAAATAGTGTCAACTATAGGAAACAAGTCTGAGATTTTTACCACATGATCAAACAAGCAGCTCTACAAATAGTACAAAGTACTTCCCACTTATCATTAAAGTTACAATGGTATATTATAAATAACATCCTACGCACCAGATAAAACTGAAATCATCTTTCAGCAATCAGGATATGAAATATAACAACACCCGTGTTCTGCAAAGGACGACGCAGAAATTGACACGGAAATGAAGACTACCATTTCTTCCCATGCAAGGAGAAAAGGCTGGTCCTAATGAAACCACCCATTCAGAGAGAGAGAGATGTCAAACACAAAACCGCAAAGCTGGCATAACATCTAAACATGTAATCTCCGAATTCAAGTTGGTCCTACAGAGAGGGTCGTTCCAAAATTTAGCTCGATTGATGAATTGGTAACATAGTCTTTGATCGTTAGTAATAAAGGTCAAGCGCACATAGCCTAGCATATCACCTGTAAAGATGCATAATTCAATGCTTTCCGCGATACCCACCACCTGACCTGGCACCAGGACGGCGAGCAAATTGCAGCCTTAAGTTGGGAGAATCACGTTCATGCTCGTCCAATTTATAACCTGCAAGATTGAGATACAGTATCTCATGCCGCGCACATCATTGACCATTTAGGTACAGACGCACAAACATGTAATTTAGTGTTTGTTGTCCAAAAACTGGCATGGGATCACTTTATAAAATTAATGCACGAAACCAACCCGTGAAATTTGCACTGGAATTCAATCAGGTCATGCAAAGTCAAAAGCATGCCAAAGCTATAAACAGGCCTGCAAATCTTCTTTTACCTTTAAGGAACTCCAATTCCCTTTCAATAACTAGAAAAAAGTTTAACCTGCAAGTCCCTCGAAGAAACAAGATGAAGAACTACAGAAGAGGTGAAAAAAAAATGACTACTCCCTCCTTGTTAGAGTCAAGAAAGATGAGAAACCTAATTCCTTTTGGCAAATCATAACGTTTTTGGGTGTGCTTCAATCGGACTGCAGATTTGCTCCCCACAAACCAAACAGAAAGGGAAGAAATAAGACGAACAATATCTATTAAATTGGTTGTCTAGGGCTACATATAAGAATAACAAAGTCATTTTTGTCTATGAAATCTTCTGTTTTCCACAGGAATGGCTGGAGAATCTTTCATGCTAGAAACATAGAAGCTATAAGTCTCAGATGCAAGTAGCCAAATAAAGAGTGCAATCACAGAAGAGTCTATGATCAGATGCATCCAGTGAAAAAAAGAGAACAAACACTATGAAATGATCGAAAAAGTACTACCAGCATTTAAGCTAGCTTTCACAGAGCCTAATTAAAGAGTACTGCATAAGATAAATAATGGTCATGATTTGCACTTGCACTCTGGACGGGAAAACTTGCTAGAGAAAGCTAAGTTAGAAGCTATGTTAACCTTCCATTTCCTTACAGACTGACTTAAATGCCAGGTAGTTCTTAATTTTATAGCCATCATTACCCAAGGCCTTATCAACCGAACAACTGTCCACTGCATCCCACACCTCTTCCTTCCCAATTGCCCTCTCTAGCCACTCAACTCAGTCTTTCAGCTTCTTAAAAGTGTATCCCTACAAACTTTGGTTGTATCTCATCAATAAGTTAGCTCTGATAGAAGACTGACTATACTACAAGCCTAAAACGAGATAAGTCACAAGATTAATTTTACTGATGGCAGGTATGGAAATCTCACCTTGTAAAGTATCCATCGCAGTGGCTGCATGGGGTGGACTCATAAAATCAACAAAGCAAAGAACAAATGGATGCCCTCCTGGCTACATAAGTTGATGGAACAGAGTATTCCTGAGAAATCATCATAATAGAACTATGACTAGAAAGAAATCTACAGGTGTGTCCTTACATGTCGTGACTCTTTGATCACCAGTCTAACTTCTTTGAAACCTACGAATGGTCGAAATATATCTGCAAACTGGAGTCAAAGAAAGAACTAGAATGGTAACTAAAATAGTGAAATGGGAGAAGCAGTATAGAAGGATACGTGACACCTCTCTTCGGGTGCAATTAGCAGGCAACCCCTCCACAAACAATGTACTGCTAGCCTCAGGTGGAAGAGGAACTTCTGGTCTAACACCTCCAAACTCAATGGTCCTGTTTCTAGCAGCAACTGGTTCTGATCCCACAGTACCCATAACACGTGGACCGTCAATAGAATGACTGCCTACTCCATTACTCATGGATCTTGCAGAGTCACCACCAGCATACGAAGAATTTTGCTGATAAATTTTGAACTATATATTAGACTAATACATCATCAAGGAACTGAGCTTAAAAGAGCATGAAAATTAACCACACACAAACGAACCAAAAATTAAGTACCCCGCTTCGCAAGTATTGTTCATAGGATGTTTCAATAGGATCCGTTTCTCTAATGGCATGATGCATTCCTTGTACATCATTGTGGCTATGACTGCCAGGCATCTCAGGACCACTTGGAACATCTATGGGGAGACAACATCAGATCATGGCATTACTTCCAAATAGAGAAGAATTAGCAATAACTCCAATAAGCACACTCATAGATAAACAAGCTAATAGGAACACACGTACAAACAAACAAGAAAGTGGTAACCTAAACTAGGCAACATGGTGTTCAAACATTAGTCAGAATCAACAGGAAAGAACAGAATGGAAACCAAGACAACTACTTGGAGAAGATTTGTCCACTTTCCTCTTAATAATTCAGAAAAATGTCCCAAGGTCTAATCATCTGCTGAGATCAAGGGATCTTAGTAGCTCAATTGGTTGGCTACCAGGACTTTCATCCCATTGGTGAGTGTTCGATTTCCCACCTTGTAATCCCCTTTCCATTTCCCCTTCTCCTTCCCCTACCCCCAATTTTTACTGCTGAGATTAACCACATTGCGTATATATAACCATTTCTATCTGAGGTAACAAAAAGCTCCTGGCAACCAAGGTAAAGTTTCAGTTGATCATCCAATTAGGCCAACCGATACAAAAAATCACATCTTTAACTTGTTCCTCTTACTTCTATGAATGAAGTCCTTAAAAAAAAATTCTTTTCAATTGCTAGCACAATAAATACTTTTCTTTCCGACTGGATTAAAAAAAAGGGAAATTTACCTTGAGCATTGGGATAAAATCATCACACAATAGATCCTCTCTTACTCACTTTAATCTTACTAATCACCTATTACTTTAATTTTGTAACACCGGATTAATTTATGAACATATCCCTTTAAAAAACCTAGCTTTTGCCAATTTTGCCAATTCAGGGAAAGATCAACGATGTGAACCAAATTAGCAAAAAATAATCACTTGAAAGAGCGAAGGGAAGTAGATGAAAGGTACCATTTTCGGTCCTCGGGCGTTTTGAGGGGACCGGAGGAAGAGATACCGGATGTATACGGCCGTCGGTGACTCTCCAGTAAGCATCTGCCATTTCGATGGAGAATAAAAAGGAATTAATGACCCAAAACACCTCGATTGGCTGCTCAAAGATTGGAGTATATCCCGATTTTACAGTAGCTATAAATCCGTCAACGATCTTCTCTGTGTTTTTTTTTCTTCTAATGTACTTCTGAGGAAACAAAGTACGCAACGAAATTTTAGTTCTCTCTTTTTTACTGTCCTTTTTTAGGTTGTACTTTTCGAAAGTCAATTTTAGAGACAGTAATAAAACGAACTATGGGATAGTTTTAAAGGCAGGGCAATTTTAAGGTTGTGACTTGTGTGGGGTGGATTGAAATGGGTTTTTTTAAAATTAATGCGGTGTGGGACAGATTGCAGGAAGGGTTGTTCGTAGTTACAGTTAAAAAATCAGAACGAACCGCAATTCGAACCTAGCCAATTAAAAAAATCAATATTTGATTTGATTTGATTTGGTTAGTTTTGGTTTTAAATTTTGAAAACCGATACTATTTGGTTTGAGTTTGATTTTACTAAAAAACAACCGCAAAAATAACCAAACCAAATTGATAAATTAAGTATATAAATTTTATAATTATTTGTATATTATTCAAAAATAAAATATAAATATTTTGTTAAATTTTAATCAACTTAAGTCTTTAACTTTACTGTTTTTTCAAGCTCAACACTTTAGCCCAACTATAACAATCATAATTCTAAGTCCATCAAAATTCATTTTAGTTTGGAAAAGTTACATGGATTGGTACATTTTAATAAATAATTACTGATTTTAGCGATACTTTTTATTTATTACTCCATTTATAGCAATACATAGCAAAATCTGCAATATGTATTAAAAATGAATTATGTATGCAATATATATGTATGATAACTGTTTTTTAAAATATATTATATTTGTTGATAAGAAACTGACACATTGTATTATAAGTGTATTAAAATTGATGCTATAAATGGTAAATATTTTTTTAATATAGTATATTTATGTAAGTTTCCCTTATAGTCTTTACCTAGCCTACTTCACATAAAATAGTCACATTTTATCTTAATTGAATCACTTTGTTCCTATAATGATAACTCTAGTATTACTTAATTGAGGTATTGAACCATCAATTTTTTTTGTGTGGATTATTCATGTATTAGGTGTTTGTGTCTATCGAGATATGTATATCCTCAAAAAAATTATTACTTACAAACCGAATAAACCAGAAAAACTAAACCAAATTGTACAAAAGCGACAATAACCAAACAAACGGTTATTTTTTTCGTTTGGTTTTAGAAATTTAAAAAATCTACTAGATTGGTTTGGTTTTGATTTTAATCAATAACCGATCCAAACCGAACCACGAACACCCCTAGTTGCGGGTCTATGCAATTTTATGTTTCAAACTTAATTATAACTTTTTACATGTTATAAGAGTGATGAAACATAATTTATCAATATATAATTTCTTTAAAGTCACTAAAATATTGAAGATAGTAAATGAAGATGGTTAAATCAAAACTAATACAATTTCTTACCTGCTTCCCAACTAAGCTCTAAAAATAAAATTTTAAGTTATTATTTATTAAATTAAAACAACTTAATGAGAAAATGATTTTTTTTTTAATTAATTTTATTTTTAGTATCAAACTTGATTACAAAAGAGAAACAATCAAAAATTTATGCGGGGCAGATTCATGTGAGGCGGGTTTATATGGGGCAGGGTAAAAATAAAAAAAGTTATCATGCGGAGCGGAGCGGCGGGTTAAGCTCGATCCGATCCGCCGCATCCTATCCCGCCCATTTGTCATCTCTAATCAATTTGATTAATTTTTAAAATTAAATTAAATTATATTAATTCGATAAATTAAAACTTCCTAACTCATACTCTCTTTGTCCCATTTTATTTGGCACTTTTTGGATTTTGAGACTCAAACAAGTCTGTCTTTGACCGTAAATTTTTCATAAATCTTTTAAATATTTTAAATTATCAATTATTGTGATTTATAGTACTTTTACATAGTTTACAAATATATAAATTTCATTTAAAAAAGATTAAAGATAGTGTCTATCTGGATTGTATTTTCCACCCCCTATCCTATCGTCCATCATTGTCAAAAAGCAATTGCTAAGAAAATTCATCTTCCTTGCACAGGTAGTAATACTAGTACTACTTTTCCACCGTAGAAAAACAACAACAATGAATTTGGCATCTCTAAATCAATTATCCCCTAACTTCCTCCTCCTATATATATAAATTGCATCTACTTATAGTCAGACTCAATCCCTTCTCTCTCTCTCTCTCTCTTCTTTCTTTTGTATTTGTATAGATACACATACTGTTAATTAATTAATGGCGGACGCTGCTACATATAATCACCCTTTGTTTAGCTGCAGAATTTGCCAGAATCCCATCGCTCTTCGAGATGATCTTCTCTCTAAACGCTTTGTGGTAATTACTCTTATTTTTTCACTACTAAGACTAATTTTTCCCCTCTGTTTATTTAATTAATCCTCCGTTGACTTCAATTGATCCATATAACAACATATACACAATCTAATTTCACATGTGAAATCTAGGAAGATAGAATACCGGAATAAAGGAGAGATAATTTTCGATAAAAATAAGACCAAATTATCTTTCAAAAAATGCATTCAACTTCAATTGATCCATACAACAACAACATATATACCGTCCAATTTCACGAGTGAAGTCTGAGTGAGTAAGGTAGGGTGTAGGCAGATCTTACTCCTAACTTGTGTAATGTAAAAATAGACTGTTTTCGATGAAAATAAGCCCAAATTGTCTTTCTAAAATTGTATTTAATCTATAGGCAAAATCAGGAGGAGCGTACCTTTTTCGGCATGCTATGAATGTAGTGGTGGGGAAAAAGGAAGATAGAAAACTGATGACGGGTACCTTCAGTGTTGCTGATATATTCTGCTGCAAGTGTGGGCAGGAATTGGGTTGGAAGTATGTTAAAGCTTATGATCCTGCACAGAAGTACAAAGAAGGAGGGTTCATTATCGAGATTGCCAAAATTCTCAAAGAATATTAATAAATTTATCACTTATTTATGTAACAAGTACTGCTTGATCGAGAATAACAGTGTAAATTAATAAGATTTCTGGTCATGAAAATGAGGTTAAAAACACTATTTTTAGTCTTTGTATGTTACCATGCTGTTGATATGTAAGAAACAGGGTAAGGTTCTTTGGCAATTAAAGATGATTTTCACTTGTTAATGTTAGAAAGGGATCTGGTATAGTCATCAAAACGTATACGGTGATTAATAATGATAAGATTATATATAATGTTATGACCAAAATAAGCAGGTGTAACTCGAAAGCTAGCAAAACAAATCTCAAAATATCACGAGTAAGAAGACAAACGAGAAACACATCAAAAGACACAAAAATTTAACGTGGTTCAGTCAATCGACCTATATCCACAAAGGAGATGAGCAATCCACTATATAAATATGATAGTACAAAATATAGAGAGAAATAACTTCAACCAATTCACTCAGAATACATGGAGGTTCACAAGTTCTCCCCCACAGCCAGAACTCTCAAAACCCTAGGACTACATTGTGAAAGCTAATTAAGTTAGAAGGAACAAACCTATATTTATAGAGTTCTAAAACTTTTCCTATAAGAAAAGGTGGAGTAAAATATTAAAACTTTTTTCTAAAAGGAAAACCTATTTATGGTAAGAAATCAAGTTAAATAAAACCCAACATATAATTTGTGGCCTAGTCAAATTTTCTAGCTGGTGTTCTGTATCCGTATAAGAGTTTGATTGTTCTAGATTCGCACTGCGTAAGGCCCCATTCAGGAAGCGCTCCCAATCAAAGATTTTTTCATACCCAACACTTGAATCTCATACCTCTAGTTAAGGAAATAACAATCTCTTCCATTACACTAGGTGGAAATAACGTACTGCACCACATTCTTTGATAGCACGCGAAGATAATGTAAAATCTTAAGAAACGTTTAGCTGAAAATGATGATGTCTTTCCTTTGAGTCAACTAATTTTAGTGGGGATCGGATATGGTTCAATACGACTGATTTACCCATTATTTTCCGGTAGACCCATAAGATTCTGTAGCTAGCGGGCGAAGTGTGCAGATATTATTTTTTGGGTCAGTGGTAGCTAACATTTGTTATATAAAAATTATGTGGATGAATAAATATATAATAGTTAATTAGCTAATATAGTTATACTTTTCATTAATTACCATTCGCGGCTTAATTTTAGCTATAATTATTGCGCCTCTCTTCCTCTCTCCTCTCTTATACATATACAAGTACAAATTATATTTATACAAATACAAATTGATATAATTGTATACAATTTATTCATTGATACAAATTGTATTTTATTAATACTATTGTATTCATTGATGCATATACATATTAATTATATACATACAATTATGTAGATATACAAATAAATTGATACATATGTATACCAGTTACATATATACAATTATCTAATAGATGTACAAATACAATTTGTCTCTCTCCGCTCCACCCTCTCTCGTTTGCCTCTCCCCTCCCTCTTACAATCTCGCTCGCCTCTCCATTCTCTATCATCTCTCGCTCTCCTCTCTCCTCCCTCTCCCAATCTCGCTCGACTCTCTCCTCCCTCTCACAATCTCGCTCACCATATATATAAATACAATCATTGATACATATGTATACCAGTTACATATATACAATTATCTGACAGATATACAAATACAATTTGCCTCTCTCCACTCTCTGCCCTCTCTCACTCACCTCTCCCCTCCCTCTAACATGTAGCTACGAATCGTAGTTAGCAAACTATAGATATGAAACCTAATTAAATTTATTTTAGTGGCTATTTGCGAAATTTCCTCTTTTTATAAGTTTATTTATTTTTTAAAATAATTTTGAAAATAACTCAGGCATATGTGGTTGAGGTTGAAATTTTGTTTGTAAATATTATTTTAAAGTTCAAGCATAGTGTCTGAATTTGTTTTGCTGATAAACAAATAAAATGTTCTCCGAATTTCAACAATTCAACACCCAAATCTACTTCACATCAGCTTAAAATTAAACAACCAAAAACCGAAAAACACCCTTATCCAAAGTCAACTTTTCAAAGTATTTTACTAAGGTCAAGATTAAAATTTAAAATAAAATTTATTTTAGTTTATATATTAC